TTTTCTGGTTTCACTGGCTTTCCATCAAGTGGAAGGCAATCGAAAATTGGCGCCTCGCAACAAAATGCTCAATGTTCAGCGAGAAACCCGACCGGACTTCGCTTTACCGGAATGATATTGTTGCATCCATCGGCATTGGCATCGCCATCGTGCAGCAACTGCCAACAATTACGCGCCGCCTTAATTGCCACACACTCACACAAATACAAACAACCATCTGCCCCCACAAGCACACACTCATGCACACACTTATACACACACACGCAATGGTTAAAAGTCGACAGAAAAAAAAAACGGCAACAATAACATCACAATCGAGCAGACAGGGGGCTGGTCATCCGACCTGAAATCAAAATCATTGGTGTGAAAATAAACTAATTGAAGAAAAATTTCATTTGCAACAGGAGCGGCTGAAACAACAGCAGCGGCAGTAGCAGCAACAGCATCGCCACTCGATGCACCGCATCTTGTTGCATTTGACCCCAGGTCAAGTTGCTGGTACACATGCCACATGCCGCTTTCTCTCGCCGGAACTGAAGCCTCCGGAGAAACGTGGAGGGGGGGCAGGGTAGTGCTGTGTTAAGAGAGGGCGTGGCAGATCGTACAGGAGTTCGACGCGGAGTGGGGTTATTTATCCGCAGTTTCCACGCATTGGCACCCTGGATTGAGAAGCGCGGTTACTTATATAAAAATATCTTTGAAAATTAAGAATTTAAGAATTTTCTACTATTTTAACTGCATTTTTTTTTCACTAAAATACCGTTATCAAGTTATTTGTTTCATCACTTTTGTTATTATGTTCTTTCCACTGTGCAACAATGATACGAGCCCTGCAATTTCAGACTCACTTCTGCGGACTGTCCTTGTCGTTGGACTATATTTCCAGGGAACTGCCATCCCGGCTAACTATCAAAATGAATGCATGAAAAACTACAAAACGGTAATGTGCCGTTGCCATGTTGCATGCGAAAAAGCAGCAACAGCTACAGCGACAGGAGGAGCAGATGTTGCTGATGGGGCTGCGCTGAGTTGTATGCTACACTTTTTTCCTAGCACTTTCGTTGGCAATCGTATGTATTTGCGTGGGTGTGGCATATTCCTTGCTTGTTTATTTGGTGCTGCCTACTAGCCGCCAACAGCTTACGCGTTTCCAATACTGCTGCAAGCCTTGATGTGCCTGATATTGCCACTGCCATTGCAGGTTGCCACCAGCAACAGTTGCAAGTGCAGATAGATGGACAGGCAATTGGCAGACCCTAGATACTGCCGCTTGTTTGCATTCAGTATAAATAGAAGAACAAAAAACAGACCGATATAAAAAACCACTCGGCTCTTACTCGGATAGCTTTTCAAATTTCTCCCCTAATTGGCAGCCAGCCGATTGTTTTCAAGTGCGAATCCATCGAGCAAATTACAGTGTTATTTATATAACTCAATGGTTTCTACGGCCACTTCTACAGAGATAATTTTGGGTTCATTTTGAGTAGATTGAAATTTGAATTGGTTAAAGAAAATAATTTTGTTTAACTAACCATTAATTTTTCACAGGACTTTTTAACTATGAAAATGCATTGCAATGCATTGGGTGAATTCAGCTCCAAGGGAAGGCCATATCTTTGGCAAAACACATCCGATTCTCAAGCGGAATACCTTAAACGATTTGTAGATCGATTCTCCATTAATCTGCATCAAAATCTGAAAACAAATAATTATTTGGATTTTCCTTCAAATTTTCTGAGGGGACCCCTACAAAATATTGAAAAATGCATGGGGGGACGATATGGCCCACAGTGAAGGCCATATCTTTGGCAAAACACATCCAATTCTCAAGCGGAATACCTTAAACAATTTGTAGATCGATTCTTCATTAATTTGTTACATATGTTAGATTATTTGATTTTCAAAAGATGTGTCTTAATCTGGTATTTTAATATCCTAAAAATCAAAAAAGGATAATTACTAAAAATCTACGTTTTTTAAAGAAAACCACGTAAAATCACAAGTTGACTTTTTTATGCAAAAATACTTAATTGGTTTTTTTCGTGGCGGAGTCACAAATCAATTGTCTGATTCCCACGTTTAATAACAAAAAGCGAAGAAACTCCCTGGGCTAAACTAATTTCTTTAGCGCTGCGGTCTGAGTTATGGAGCTAAAATTGGCCACCTCACACCCCGACTCCCACCCAGTGGACCACAAAATTTGCATGTCTCCCAGACTCGAGTCGGCGGTCTTTACCCCTGAGTTGCTGGCCTCTCCCGCCATCTACTCTATATCATTCTGGTTCTGGAAATGTGGAGGCATCTACATAAATGTGGCTTTTCATTAAAATCTAAAAGCATAAATCTAAAAAGTGAAACCAACAATGCCAGAGCAGACATAGCCAGGCGGACATCTGCGGCGGCATCACCAACCCCCTCAGAAACGAAAGTCTCCTCTTAAAAGCAGAGCCGCGTTCAAGAGGGTTCTTTGAACTTTTAATTTAAAATATTGTACATTCTTAAAATTTTAACTTATTATTATGTTTAATGTTATATATTTTGTGAACTTTAAAGTTTTGGAAAGATCATTTTGTAAGCCTATACTTTAGGGCCCCTTTTAAAAATTTGTTACCTAATTTCCTGCCCCCAATTTTCACAGGATCTGTGGTTTGACTGCTTTATGCCTTTCTTCCTTCCTGCCTGAATTGGTATCTGTGTCCTATGGGTGCGAGTGTCTGTGTGTAAACGTGGCCAAAACTAATTGAATTTTGAAATTCAAGTCGAAATTAAAAAATCACAAACAACCAGCCGCCGAAATAAACTGTAAAACGGAAATGTATTCGGCAGGTGGAAATTGAAACTGATTGAATTGTAAAGTGAAGCATAAAATGCTTTAGCCAGCATTGCTTTTGTTGGCCATGCTTTACATCTGCTGTCACGCCCACCTCGTCGCCCACCCTACGCCACGCCGGCATCAGTTGTTATTTTTCGGATTTTCGCTTTTTTTTGTTTTGTACTGTAATTTATGGTTTTCGATTTTAATTTGCGCACTTGGGCGCGTGTTTTATGGGAGTTTTCTTCTCTTGCATATTATTTTGTGCCTTCTGTGTTTTGTCACACAGCTATAAGAAATGTGTGAATAATTTGGAAAAAAAGAGAGTTGATTGAGAAATTTGAGATATATTTATTAAATCTTTTAATGTTATTTACCTTTGAAGCACTTTTACACAAACATATTTGACCTGTTTTAAATATTCTGCCTTGAAACACATACTTACTAATTAAAGCTTTTAAAGTATATTAATAAATATCCTCAACACCTATTTAAGCATCATTAAATTTGTTATTTATAAAGCCACTAAGTGGTTATCTGCCCTCGGTAAAAAATATATAAACCATATGCATTATGATTAGCCACCGTAATTGAAGTTTAACTGCGCGTGTAATAAAAGCGATTTTTGGCCATTTGCAACGCATTAACAGCATAAATAATACCAGGGCGAAAGTGTGAAAATAAAGACACGCGATATGTTTGTGGGGACCATTTCTCAGACCACACACACACACTCAAAAGCCAAAGAAATCCAAAAACATTTCTCAAAACAGGAACAAGAAATACGCCGCCATTTTTGATGAGTTGAGGATTTGGGGACACGCGAAATGGGCGCGAGAAAATGTACGAAATGCGATATATTGTACAAAGGCATTATGAACGTGCTGGCATTACCAGAAAACCTAGACCGACTTATATGCCTTTATATGAATGTGAATGTGGGTGTTGGATGGTGGGTGGTAGCTATAAGGATGGGGATATGGCTGTTTCCCAGACCGCAAACAAACGACGGCGACTTATTCATTGCGCTTGCCATTAAGGTGGCTCTCGCAGCCATTTGGGCATTTCCAATGCCTTTTCCCTTGCCTCTGCCTTTGCTTTTACCAGGGTGATATATAACACGCTCATAATTGGTCATAAATCTGACAAATGTAATTTGTCATCACTCAAGCAGCTAGCGAACCAGCATCAGCATCACCCCAATCTTTTTTCTTCACTAAAAAATAAGGGAATTATCTTTACCGACTGGAGGATACCACCTGAGACATAAACAGCAATGGTACTTTAAGTTTTTTTTTTATAATATAAAAATAATATTTCTTTCAAAACAAAAACACCTTTATACATTTTACAATATGAACATCCATATCAATCGGGTATATCCTTTGAAGTACCGAGTATGGGAAGTAGTCCTACCCTCTCCATAGCTCAGACTGCCTTTCGTTTTCCTGCTTCCTGGTGGTCATGCCGGAGTGGCGAAATGAAAAAGGTGCTTGACACAAAATGTCAGCTGGATATTTTTTATTACACAATCACAACATACAAACACCCACACACACCCAGGCACACCCGCTCCGACACCTTTCGGATGCCTTGGGGGCCAAAGTGTGGTTTTTGTTTTAGTTTCAGCTCAACACCCACACATAGACAAACAATATTTTCGGGCACTTGGCACATAAGCCACAAAGTAGTTACTTTTTATGCTCTTCACTCGTACACCCACCCACACTCCGGCTCACACACTCCGTCATAATCGGACCTAGACCTGGAGCTGGACCCGGAAGCCCCCTTCTGATTCTGATTGTTTTTCCCGACGCTCACTTGAGCTCGTAAATATTTTACAAGTTTTTGTTCGGGTCCTGGGAACTAATTTCAGCTCTTATAGATGACATACGACGATTCGGTTGGAGGTGCTCGGGACTCAGGACTTGGGACTACATTTCATTATAAATGACTTTCAAAATGGCCTAAGCGTTGTAAATGGAGTAAGTGCGTGTTTCTGGTCAGGAGCAGCGTCTCCAGGATTGGGTTTTAATGGCGTTCAGGCAATCAATAGGCCATGATAATTTATGGCGATTACAGCGACCCATTCCTGAAAAAGTTGTCCATGAATATGACTTAATATTCGGTTTGGTCCCGGCATGAGAAAAGTAAACACATTTTGATGAGGAATCTATTTTCTGAGAAATCATTGGTGCCTTATTAATGTGGCAAGGGGTTGAACCCAATTATAGTGTATCATCCACTGGTATATAACATACATAGCGGTCATTCCACTCAAATAAAAGAAAAGCGACATTCGAAACTCATAGCCACTCATGGAGATGTGCAGCACACTGGTCGTCAATATAAGGAATATAAACTGTACAGAAGTCTCAGTTTTAGCCGTAATAGCTATCTGCCAATAAAAAATGATAACATCAGATATGTAGATGATTTGGTTAAATGGTCCTTACCTCAGTTTTGGTATTGTAGCATCCTTGGTAGTACAGGAAGGGAAAAATCAAACAGGTGGTATAGGTGAGCAGGCTCACCACGACTCCGAAGGAGGCATCCGACATTCTCCTCTGCTGGAGGTCACTCACAATAATCGCCAAACAGAAAACCTCGCATATGCCAAAGTACATCAAGGGTATGTGATCGGGGTCCATTCTGTAGCGCATCCGGATATACTGCCAGATTAGGTTTTCCACCTCGCGGCTCAGCAGAGTCATCGTCACAGAACTAATCAGTATTCCGATAACGGCGAATATCCAAACAAAGTTTGGACGTCGCAAGGAGTGCGTGGAAATGAAGACCAGGACACTGGAGAACCAGCTAATCGTGAGTATCAGAATCCAGATGGGGCCACTGAAACAAACCGGAATGCACACGAACGGGAATAAAATCAAACTCGAACAGACAACGTATTTGCTCCAGCCATGGAGATATCTTCTGTCGGTTAGAACCGGAATAACATGGGCCAACAGAGTATAGGGCGGTATCTGCAAGACAATCAACATATTAAAGTATTTTAAACAAGTAAATATAATATTACCATAATAATCTTTAATGGCGTGAAGTAATCGTGCAAATTGGTATATCCATTCACTGAATTCCACCACAATTCTTTGGTCGAAAAAGTCAGCATCTTCTGGTAGTCGCCCAGTATCTCATCATCACTATCTATGTCTGAAAAGGTCTCATGCTCAGTTGAACCCCTGGTTGCCTTCCTTTTGTACGTTTCATGTGACACAACAAACACCAACACTAGGATTAAAATAAAGGTGTACACGAAAAACAGCGACCGAAACAGGAACAAGTGCTCGTAGGGAGGATCGAAAACGCCATCGGCCATCATTTTGTATCTGACGGAGATCATTTTGGACAGATATCCCATTATTATCAATAGGAAGGCCATGGAGGACCAAAGGGTAACGCCTTCCACCCGATGTCCTTGGATACAGATTACCATCACCCCCACCACAAAGAACTTCAAAATGTCCCCTATAAGCTTGGAAATCTGGAGAGCGCAAAGAGCTCCGTGCTTGTGATCGCAGATGGGCCAGTCACCCAGGTAATATGGCATAATGAAGAATAATCCAAAGAAGAGGTAACAATTTCCGAAAGTGCTCATCGGAGCATACTGAATTATAGTAACAAAATTGGGAATAAAGCTGAAAATAAACCATAAAGCTTACAACACATTTTGATATTAAAACATTAGCTTACAAGAATTTGGTCAGGACATGCAACATGGCGAAGGAGAAGAGTAACATGCATATGACAATCAGGCCAAACATTGGTATACTAGAAATCCCCAAGTGGCAGAAGCACAAATTTAAATAGTCTACATACTGCACCAACATCCTGCAACTAACTTCCCGTCGTATTATATGGCATAACATAAGGGCTGTCAAATTTTCCTTGTTCGTGCTGCAGCAGCATGGCTAAAAATATGATCTTAAAGCCATTAATATTAACCATAGAAGGGCAACATACCACTTTTGATACGTTCACAAACGACATTTTTTCTTTCCTCTCAACATTAAAATATAAATGAAGTTCTTGACAAAGCTATACTGTTTTTCTGATACATTGTAATGGCCCCTTCAAGGTGCAAATGCAAATGCCTTGCCTTCCAAATGGGTCAACATAAGGTTCATGAGCGATCATCATCTCCAACGTGACGAGCTGCAAGTACGCCGTAAATCTCACCGTACTTGTTTTTATACATTTCGCTTTTTATTTTTCTGATGCTCCAACTGGCAACAGCCAAAGATTCAGATTCCTACCGTAATGAAACTTGATGCGACACATTTGGCAAATTGACGTCGCATCAACATCAGGCATCAACATTGCTCGGGTACATGATATTCCGTCCACTGTTTTCCTTTTTTGTCCCCTCCATTCTTTGGCTCCATAAGAAAATCCGAGAATATTTTTTGTGCCTGCCTCAATTAGTGGCAATTGAATTATTACACGGCGGCACTCATTCAATTCTCAGCGATGGGGGAACCTGTCCACGGGCGAGTGTTGTCAGGTTATCAGATAAATGGGGGAATACTATACGAAGCGACTGGGAATCAGGCAGACTATGAGGTAAGGGCTATACCCTTTTTAATAAATTAAAAAATTACCTAAAATATATTAAACATGTTATGGCATTCTTATATTTAAATTGTAATGAATATTGCAGATTTATTGAATATTTAATACTTAAAATTATACATAGTTACTATATGCTCCTCTTGAGCTTAGTAGGGCATCCGCCTACGCATTTGTCACTCTCCCTGGATAAACGTGCCGCAGATGAGCCGCTTGGGGCCAGTTCATCCCCAAATCTTGATCGGTTCAGATCGGTAGAAACAATATAAATTATAAAATATGAGATCCTGCTACTTGGCACTCGGTCTGCTGCTCATTGTGGCCGCTTCCGTTGAGGCCCGCGGTGGAAGGGGGCGTGGAGGGGGCTCGTTCGGTGGCCTGTTCGGTGGCTGGCGCAAGTACAAGAAGCCCTCGTCATCGGGCGGAGGGAGGCGAGTAATAAGTGGATCCCCGGTCCACACGGCTATGACGGTGCCGAAGCCGCCCCTGCCACCTCCGCCACCAAAGCCCATGATACCCCCGCCCAAACAGCAGATTCCAAGCTATCCACGTCAACAGATGCCAGCTGGATACGGCTATGGATCCTATTCGACCCAGGGAGGCGGAACCTTCTACTCCAACGCCCAGGGTCTCCCCCCGGGAGCTGTTTACTACGCCCAACCACCCACGGGAATGAATCGCGGATCAGGTGAGCTTCAACATTATGACTAAATTATTAAATATAGAAAATAATATAAATATTTTAAGGACAAAAATTTCTTAAATTACTCATTTAAAAAAAGTAAAATAAAATTTAAATTCTCCTGCAGGTACTGGAGATTTTCTGACTGGAATGCTGGCGGGTCACATGATGAACAACCTTCTGTTCGGGCACAGACACCATGTCAGTCATGTGTACCATAGAAATGGAGAGGGGGACCCGTCCAGTCAGGGCACTGGTCGGCAGATCATCATCGTTAACAATGGCCAACCGGAGGGAGTGGCCCAAAATGAAACTTCAATTTCCCAGGAAGTCTCGCCAGTGGCTTCTCCCAAAAATCCTTTAACTGACGAGAACGAGGAAGGGGAAGAGGAGGTGGGGGAGTCGGGGGCGGAGGCAGCTGAAAGCGAAGGCGAGAGTTCACCTATTTCCAGTGAGGAATCCCCAGAATCTGGGACAACTCCACCTCCGTCTCTGCCGAGCGGTGGAATCATTTGCTTCCCCATCATGCTAAATGAAACAGATCCCGAGAGCCCGGACAGAGTTCGGGAAGTAGAACGAATTGTTTGCTTCCCGGCACCAGCAAGAAATCCCGAGAATTTTCCATCCACCACAACCTCTGAGCCACCCATTGTTGCTGGCGATATTGGCGGTGGTGCTGAGGAAACTGGTGCCGAGGGAGCGGGTGATGGTGGTAGTGTGGAGGGCAGCGATGCATCTACAGATGCGCCCATCGAAGTGGCTAGTTATGTGGCAGGAAGAGCTTCGGAAGTTCAGGCTCTTACCTTTTGAGTATTCATAAGTCATCTTATAAGTCTCTGTTTCGGAATAAAAATTAAATAAGCTAAAAAAACCTTCATTTTATTTTGATTTTTTCATATCTTTTTTTTTCAAAAAAAATAGATACACGTCACAAGCTTCTAGAATCTAGATAGAACGAACTGATGAGTCTCCATTTTTACAGCAAAAATGTAATCTTAAATATTTCAACATTAAAAGTGAACGACAGAAAACTGGAAAATTCTCGCAAGCCGAAAACTCATACGCAGTGTGGTTCATGACATAATTTTTATTAATAATTATTTTGAGGCCTATTAAATAAACCAAAACCCTTTATATAAAACAACATGAAGAACAGACATTTTACAGGTTCTTTAAGTATATATTCAAAATCTTCTCAACTATGTACATACATACATATGTATATGAAATATATGTATACTATACAATAAAACAAAACCACCTAAAATTTATAAAATAACAAAAACACTATTATTCCCTATCGCACAATTACAACAACAAGGCAAACAAACGCCACCAAGGCAAGAGAAAAGACTGGAAAGACTGAATGCCTCCTTTTCACTCAAAAATGAAATATACGGATTATACTCACTTAATGAAATCTTTGATACTTGTGTTTAAAATTAAAAAAAAAAAAAAAAACTATAGAAATTATGTAGAGCTTTATGTATTTGATTTGAAAATCGTAGACGCTAAACTTTTTATTCAAACCACAGAAAAAAAATCATGATTAAACCATAAAGTAGTAAATACAACCGGATGCGTATAGAAAAAAACAATTCCGAAAACAGATAAGGATTGTCTGAAATCAATAAAGTACCGCCCTTGTGGTGATCAGTATAAAAAACGAACGAAACGAATATGTTTCACACAATCCTATAGTCTGTACAAGCGATCACATCGATATTAAACCATTCCTATTCCCTTGCAGAATGTCGCTTAAACCTAGTCGGCTCAGTGGCAGCCAGGTGGTGGTGGTGCTACTTTTATTGGCACTGACTACCGAAGATGTCCAAGCCAAGAGCTTGGACGGTGGCGACGGTGGTAAAAGCAGTGGCGGAGGTTCATCTATTTCCAGTGAGGAATCTCCGCGCGATGGAATCATGTGCTTCCCCATCATGCTAAATGAAACAGATCCCGAGAGCCCGGATAAAGTTCGGGAAGTAGAACTAATGGTTTGCCTCCCAGTACCACTAAGTAAACCAGAGTACTTTCCACCCACCACAACCCCTGAGCCATCCGTTGCTTTTGACGATATTGGCGGTGGTGCTGAGGAAACGGGTGCCGAAGGAGCTGATGATGGCGATAGTGTGAAGGGCAGCGATGCATCTACAGATGCGCCCATCGAAGTGGCGAGTTATGTGGCAGGAAGAGCTTCAGAAGTTCAGGCCCTTACCGCTTGAGTATTCATAAGTCTTTGTCTAAGTCTCTGTTTCAAAATAAAAATGAATTAATCTAAAACAGTCCTACATTTTGTGTTGATTTTCTGTTATTCTAGGAAGGATTGGCCATATCATTCGTTTCTTGACTCAAATGGCAAGGACACAAAAATTAGAACACACGCCCATATTTTCTCTTTAACATTTCTCTCAATATTTACCAAAGTTATTCAGGTAAAGTTACATAAGGTAATAATATAGGTAAATAAGTTATATAAGGTAACCGAAGGAAACTTTTAAAATGTATAAATATTTTAAGTATAACACTCATACGCAGTGTGGCTTACGACTTTATTTTTTTTATTTAAAGCCTAACTGAAACAAAAAAATCGATGTATATTTATTTAAAATGTAAATAAATATTTTAAACTCTCTGTACAAACAGGAGTGTTCCCTATGGATTTCATCGTTATACAGGTCGTATACGTAACTTTTTTTTTTTAATTTTCATTTTTTTCCAGTGTAAAACCACATATACAATAGTAATAACAACACAAAAACACCTCGAACTAATAAAAATAACAAAAACATTATCATTCCCCATCGAACAACTACAACAAACAAGGCAGCGACGTCGACTGCTACGCGACATCGCGGTTGACGTCAACGTTGGGAGCTGAAGGCGAACAAAACTAAAAACAATAACAAAGAGTCCCAAAGCAGAGATACCAGCTTAAAATACCTATAAAAAAGCGTTCGAGTGGATGTGTGTGGGGCTATATGAGTGAACGATGATCCAACAAGAGCAATGAAGCTCACTTGGCGCTCATTAAATCGACAAAGCTACAAAAACAACAAACTAAAGCGCCAGCAAGGCGAGAGAGAAGACTGGAAAGACTGAATGACTTGATACAAGTTTGTATAGGAAGAATAATTTTTAATTATTTTTAATATTGTCAAACAAAAAAATATTGTCAGTAAAAAAATAAATAATAACAATAACATATATGAATTTTATGTGTTTGTTTTTTAATTTTTATTCTAAATTTTATCTTATTGAATTATGCATTTAGCTGCCCTTAACTTTATTTTCGCCTTATCTTTCCCTTTTTTCTTAATCTGAGGATAAGATAAATATATTATTTTAGGGTATTAGAGAGAACCATATCCAGTCATTCGTTTGGAGCCGAATACCGAAAAGCTAAAATTAAATAAAAACACTCAAGAGAGGGAGGCGATAAAACCACGTCTGTAGAAGGGGGAGTAGGGGGCGCAAGGCGGAGTGGGAGCCAACTGCGGTCAGCACAACAACAACAACAACAGCACTCGCATGGTCGCCGCTCTGTCGCAGTCACAGCGCCAGAGAAAAGCGCCACAACGCCTCAGTTGCTTCAGAAACTTTGTGCGGACAAAAGCGAAAAAGTGAGCGCGGCAGAAAAACATAAACAAACCAAACAGTAAACCAAAGTAAATATTAAATAATTTCAAGTTTATTATAAAACAGACAATAGTAGAAGTATAATGCTCAATCGTGTCGAAAATACAAAAATCTCTCTTCAGAATTCATTGATTTTTAAATCAAAATCGAAACACCAGTTGCATTAATTTAGCAACTCATTGTACAGCCTGCCTTTTGTTTATTGATATTTGCAATGTTTGCCCGACTTCAAGGTCACTTGAAACTGAAAACACAAAGCTAAAGAACTTATAATTGGCACATGCCCGACACTCAAAACGAATATTCCACATTAAAATCAATTTTGGGTTGCATACTTCTTGCCTCTCAAAAAAGATTCCCAATATACGCGATAGATTCTATAATATATCTTAAATTTTTAAAATATCCAGAATTTATTGGTTTGTTTTTTGTGCACTCAACAGGTTTGTTTAAAATTAGAAAGTCCCATTTGGTGGGGAGAACAGAAATAACTTTGAAAGGCCCTGCATTCTTTGTACTTATTCATAGAAAGTGCATTGGAGCATAAACAAGGGGACTTTTTTATAAAGAAAACTTAAGAGACTGGGTTCAAAACAGCTGCCATACCTCACTTCCTAAAAAGTCTTACATAATACTATTAAGTTTGAAAACCAGCTAAATAAATAGGCCAAAAAACAAAAGACGAAAATATTTTTTCAAGAGGCACCCACTCGTAAACCTTCATAACCGGCTTTTGTCACCCAATTTAGTTTTAATTTTGTATCTTTTGCAAAATGGTCTGTAATATTTGCAACACTCTTATATATATGACGTCATCAAAAATCCCATTTGAGAGTCAAAAAAAAGTTGAATCATATATGTACATATGTCTGTATGTACTTTCTGGAAATACATATGCTTATTGTCGCCTCTAATGAATTCCTTGATAATCTATTATCTGGAATGTCTTTGACCCTTGACACTATATTCGTTTGGTGGCGATAAGCCAGCCATTGCTAGACATCAATGAATATAATGCTCTGGAAATCTGCAAACATTTTATATTCCTGGAAATCCAAAGAAATTCGAGTAAACAGGTTCGTGTTTATAACCATTTCCCCATTGACGTCATAGTTGCTCATGCGCCTCGCTTACTGGATGACTCACTCGAAACTAGTTTAATTTTAAAAATATTACTAAGAGACCTGTAATTTATTCACTGCAAGTGCAATGTGTCAAAGTTACCGGCTTTTAAAGTAATTACTTCTTTGTTTTATTTTGACTTGGGTTTAATTGCTAAATACTATAGTTTCTAAACAACTTTTATGGAAATAAAGCTGATTAGCATCTGATTTTTCTATACGTTTATTATGGCGCTTTAATTTAATATATTTAGCACATATAAGCGATTATTGTTGTTAATTTTGCACTGCAGCTTAAGCTCTAATACAAATGCATAATTCAAATCTGTTTATTCAAATGTATCTATTGAGATTCAAATTCATTTTCCAAGAGAACTGCTGAGAGTGCAAAACCATTGTTACAGAAAACCAGAAATGTAGTAATAATAGGTTGTGTTTTTTTCTAAATGCGTCATACTTACATAGTAGATTTCATAGATTATATTTTATACATACATAAATATTCATATAATAAAAATATAGTATTACATGCCACATGGGATTTCGCCTTCTGGCCCCATTAAGAAGCTTCCGTTAGCCTTGACACCCCAACAACTTGACCTTTTGGGGACTTTATAGTTCTGGAACCCAGACGTGGGTCCGTCGGGATCCGAAGGCGAAAGTCAATGGAGCGCAGCCACGCGACTCGGCGCCCCCAAAAGTGGAAAGTTAATTATTATTTTCCGAGTGCCAGCGACACGCATAACGCGCTTTATATTTTTTTGGCTAACAAGGAAACCCTTCTTACCTTTCTTTCAATAGGTGATAGAGGAGGAATATACTAACAAACTATTTTTTTGTTTTGTTTTCAAGAGTGTCAGTTACCGTAGAACCTACTATAATTGCACAAATTGAATCAATTGTTTTTTACGCAAACATAAAAATAAAACCTCGCTGCCAGATGATGACTGACAATGGGCAGTGGAATTGGGGTGCAGCAGGGACTGGTATAAAAATAGTCGCGGGAGGTCGGAGCTTGCTCAAATTACTATACTTGTTTAAGGGTAACCAGAACTAGTTTTATTTACAAAAAAGAAAACTTTCAGTTCAAAAACCTTTCATAAAAACAAAGTCTCAGAAAAAAACCCAAAAACTGATCTAATTCTAATTAATAAGAAAACGTGTCAAAAACAAACTATTAAAATATTGTAGGCATGTATGTATTTCATCATATATTTTTCATTGACGCCAAACTTGTGATTCAAACAAAAAAAAACCAAGATTAAACCATAAAATGGTAAATACAAGACTCTTAATCATCACAATTAGTGGATGCGTAAAAAAACAATTCCAAAAACAGATAAGCATTGTCTGTAATCAATATAGTCCAGCACTTGTGCTCATCAGTATAAAAAACGAACGAACCGAATATATTTCACACAATCCTATAGACAGTACAAGTGATCACATCGATATTAAAGAATCCCTTATCCCTTACAGAATGTGGCTGAATCCTAGTCGGCTCAGTGGCAGCCAGGTGGTGGTGGTGCTACTTGTATTGGCACTGACCACCGAAGATGTCCAAGCCAAGCGCTGGTCTACTGGCGGCGGCGGTAAAAGCCGTGGAGGCTCCCTCTTCGGCGGAGGCAGCTCTCGCAGGACTTCGTCTTCCTCGTCCGGCTCGCATAGTCACTCTTCGGTGAGCCATTCGTCGCCCTCCCACCATGCAGCACCGGCGCACCACGATCCGGTGAGGCTATCCTACCCCAGCTCCAACCACCAGACAGTGAGCAAGGTGAGCAGCACCCAGTCGCACGCGGCTCCCAAGCCATCCGCACCAGCTCCCGCAATTGGATGGAACGTCCCCAAGGCGCAAGGACCCCCGCCGGCTTACTCTGCGTCGAATCCTGTGGGCGGCGCTCACACCAACATTCACGAGAAACCCCCGGCATACAATCCATCGTACAGACCTGCACCGCCCAGTTATCCTGCTGCCACCCAGACGCACAACACCAATCTCCAGAGCGCCTCTCGACCGGCCACCAGTTCCAGTTCTGGCTCCTCCGGCGCACATTACTACGGAGGAAGTGGCTACCGGAACCGAGCTAACTCTACTGGTGGTTTCGGCGGTTCATCCGGAGGTTACACTCCTATCACAGCCACCAATGCCCACAACGTGCAGTCCAGCTATCCCCGCCAGAGCTTGCCAGCCGGAGCCACTTACCATCCGGCTGGACAAATTCCCGCTGGTGCCACCTATCACCCAGCGGGTCATCTACCGGCAGGAGCCACTTACCATCCAGCGGGTCAGGTTCCACATGGTGCTACTTACTATCCGACAGGACAGTTTCCGGCCGGTGGCTCTTACCATCCGGCGGGAGGTTTCCCAGCCGGAGCCTCTTACCACCCAGCCGGCGCTGTTCCTCACGGAGCCACCTACTACCCACAGGGACCTGCAGGACTGCCACCGGGCGCCACCTTCCTGCCCGCCGGAGGAGCATTGCCCGCTGGAGCCACCTATTACGCACAGCCACCAGTGGTCTCCCAGAAGTCCTCTGGACCTGGATTGGGTAAGTTTCCTGTTCAACCTCCTCAAAGATTATTTTATTAATTTCATCTTTATCTTCAGGAACTGGTCTTATTGCTGGTGCTTTGGGTGGTGCCATTCTGGGACACGCCCTTACGCCCACTCATACTCGTGTCGTGGACCACTCCTACTCTGGCGGCGGTGGTGGAGGAGGATATGGCGGTGGTAACTCTGGCGGTGGTGATGACAAGATCATTATTATTAACAACGGACCTCCCGGCTCGGTGACCACCACTGATGCGGGATCTGGCACCACGGTGATCAATACTGGTGGAAGTCAAGCGGCTGGTGTTCCTCCTGCTCCCGCAGCTCCTGCCTATGGATCTCAATTGCCCCAGCCACCATCTCCAGGCTCTGCTCCGCTGGCGCCTTTGCCACCTGCCCCTGGTGCTGCTCCGCTGGCCCCTCTGGGTCCTCTTCCCCCAACACCCATCGATCCTGCATCGGTTGCTTCCGTTAACGCTGCGCCTCCTGCACCAGGAACTCCTGCAGATCCCAATGCACCGGCACCTCCCACTCCTCCGGCTCCCGGAGCACCTGCTGATCCAAATGCGCCACCTGCCCCAGGTGGCCTTATCTGTGTGCCTGTGAAGGTGCCCCAGCCAGATCCTAAAGATCCCACCAAGACGATTGAGGTGGATCAGATTGCCTGCTATCCGGCGCCACCTCCAGAACCGGCTGTGAATGGTACCCAGGAAGCTGTGCCCTCTCCCGTTGCTGCCGGAGGGGCTGTGCAAATGGCCCCCATCCAGGCCACCACACCCGTAAACATTCCCGAGGGTTCCGTGCCCCTGGCCCCCATCTTGCCCGGTGGTCAGCCGGATATTATGAAAATGCCCGGACTCACATCCGCTCGATTGTCGGCGGAATCAGGCCTGAAGGATGCCCACAATACGGCCCAGCAGACCTTAGGTCATTTCGGCTTGGTCTCGTCTTTGGTAACCCTCCTGGTGGCCTACTGTCTCCATTAGAAGAGTCCGGAGCCTGCTTCTCTCTCTCAAGGACGCCGTGTTATTGGCAGCCGGAAAGCTTTATTTAATTTATTGCCAGTCTGCGGGACACGAGATTCGCCGGGATATCCATACATGTTTGTTGAAAGCCCGACCTGTCGGTTGTCCTCATATTTACACACATACTTTGTGACAATTCGAATTTTTTATATATACTCGTAGTTCTGTTAGACCTCAAATTAAGTCTTTAATAAATGTACCAATCGATCGAAGATATTTGTTTACATTATGAGTGTTTGGTAACGTTATAAAAGAATAAAATTATTTTTATTTAAACCAGAAATTATTGTCTTTAATATTTAAAATGAAGTTAGGTATTATTTTCATAATATATATTAATAATTTCAAATAAAAAACCTAAAACTAAACTCGGCTTTTTTTCGTTTGTCAGCAAAGCAGAGCGCTCCTACAGGAATAATATGGAACTAGGGTAAAAGGCATCTACCGGTCAAGCTTGTACTGCAATTTTCTATCACAGGAATTTTCCCTTATATTAAAATTAAACCAAAAAATCATTTAACTAAATAAAAAAAAACAACAAATGGCTTTGAACTTTTTTTCATAATTTTCCAAATATTATGATATTGTGTCCCATATCTGATTACCACTCCTCGTTGATGTTGACTACGTCATCGATGCCATCGGCCAAATCATTCTGAAACCGTTTATAGTAATTGGGGACATCAACACCCAAAGCAGTAAAGGCTTTCTTGATGGTGTCGTTCCAGGCATCCACCAACGTCTCCCGCCACGGTTTGTCCACCGGCTCATCCTTGCAGGCCTTGCAGCGCCAGCAGCAGAACGATTGCTTCCAGTCTTCTGCATAAGGACCTAGCTCCTTTTTGGCCGCCTTTAGCAGATCCACCGAGTTGGTGGAGGGGCCCCAGATGTCCAGCTCCTGGGTGCCATAAACGGTCCCAGCCACCAAAGCCAATCGGAAGAGTAAAGAGAAAAGCATCGAAACTGAAGGTCAAACCTAAAATTTTGATAATTTTTTCGCTATTTTTGATTTAAAAATTTTGACAAACCTGCCCAGGGGTTTTCAAATTAAATACAAAAATGAAGCTATATCTACAAATACATATTATATTTGTTATTTCTTTTTTTTGATTTCACTTTAATCCCACAGTTGAATTGTGCTTTTTGAGTCCAATATTCGAATCGAACCTTCGACATTATTTATATTTTTCTCCACCCTGCTACGGCGTTTTCTTAGATTTCTAATAATACCTCGCTTCTTTTCCACATAACTCATTGTGTCGTCGTAGTCCTTCATCAATAGAGGGAAGTTTATTATACCTCCTTGTCGACGGCACTCGTTAATTTGTGAATAAATTTTATTTCGCAATATATTCCCCTTGTGGACTTTTTGGCGGAGGGCTAAGAACTGCTTTTGCAGGTCCAACAGATTTTTTTTGGCTACCCGGTGCTTTCGAGACATTAGTTTCCGCCGACATCTGAGATGGGAAATCAAATGGATTTTGTTGGTAATTAGGTTTGACATTCGCGTCAGCTCAGCTTTTCTGGCTAAAAAAAAAACCAAATTTAAATAGAAAAGCAAACAAATTTAATTTCTGAGATCACTTACTGTTGAGATTACTGGCTAATTGTTGAGCCTCGATTTCCACAGAAAGATATGTGTGCATTTGAAGATCTTCAGAGATTGTATTTATTTGCTCAATTTTCTGAAATTAAAAGATTGTTTTGGTATTAAGATACACTTTCTAAAAGCATCATACCTCCATTATGTAGGAAAACTGATGCTGCTTGTGAATTAATTCAAGGCGCACTTCTGAAATTTCATTTCGCTCCATTCTCATTTTGCTAAGGACACTTTTCACATACTGGTAGGGATAATAATTCATAAGTAATTAAAATATAATAAATGTAGTATTATTTACAGACTCAAGACGTTCGGTGTCCTGACCGTGGCTCAACACTGTACTAAGGATTACTTCCTCCAAACGGTTGGTTAGTTCCTCGTCCTGATTTTCAGCCTCCTCCAGTTGGGACTTCAATTTCTCAGTTTCCGCCTTGTGAATTTTCTGTGTCAGTCTTTCGACTCCCATCCTAAAATCCAAATCATTCAAGGCAGTAAGATAACGACGATACTGGATCTCGTCCATTTTACTATTTTTACTGGGAGTGATTAACGAATATTTGCATCGCCGCAGATAGTATTCCATAATTTTTTGGTTTAGGTATTCACTTCGATTTCTTTCGAAAAGATTGTCTGCGACCAGCTCCTCCAGTTGTTCCATGAGTTTTATTTTGTCGAATCTCTGAGACTGATAGCATTCAGATGCTTCGATACGACCAACTACATTATCGATCAACTCGAACAGATATAGTTCGACAGTATCTCTGATTTTAGTGCTTACAATACTTAGCTCTTTTTCCAAAAGGGAATCGGCGAAACCTTCCGGAAACCCGGCAGCACTTGGGCTTTCAAAGACAACCGCTTGCACAGGAGACCACAAGCCATCACTTTCAATGTCTTCGTCAATGCTATTATCACAGGATTCCAAACTAGAACTGGCTACATTTATTAGGCTTTGTTCCATTGAGGACCTATCGTTCTCCGAACGCGTTTCAATCGACTCGGAGGTATACTGGGAGTGAAAGGTGGCACTGGAAACGTGTTCCAGTGGGTCTAAACGCCGGATCTTTCCCGGTCGACTCTTTCTGGTCCTTACATTATCCTGTGGCTGTTCCATGGATGTTGTTTCGCTTATTTCATTCAAAGTAGGAATCGACTTAAGTAGGGTTAATGCTTCAGAACGTTTTCTTATATCCATTTCAGATTCTGGTGACTTGATGGAAGGTTCAATGGAAACCGCTTTGTCTATAGGTCCATCGGTAGAATTGACACTACTGGAGAAACTAGACGTTCTGGAAGTTCTGGGAGTTCTGGAAAAATAAAAAACGCAACTAAAAACTAGAAAATAAAACAAAGATTCGTAACGAACCTTTTAGGTATAACCTTTTTTAGTATATCCTCTACATCCTCCTCAGAACTCAAAGCACTCTCAAATTCTTCGATTGAGAATTTCTTTAAAGGCAATTGTTCTGGAACATTTTTTAGCTTATATATAGTATATTTATCGCGTACATTCATAACGGAAAACTTGCGAAAACTATCCGACTTGCCTATTTTCGCGCTAAAGGACTTCTTTCCCTCAATGAAGGAAACGGAGCCCAATGTGGCTTGAGATGTTTTTACGCTCATCTTGAAAGAAGAGGCTTTCGGAGCCGAAAGGGAAGCTTTTGGAGACGATGTGGAGGCTTTCGGAGCATGAAGGGACTCTTTCGACCAAATAGTAGAGGCGGTTGGATTGATAAAAACTTCTTTGCTCGAATTTTTCTTTATGGTAGCCTGACCGCTAGGCGATACCCTTTCCGAATCTAAAATACTGGATCTTGACGAAGCTCTCTCCAAAGATGTCCTACTGCCAACTGAATTTAGTGGGACTTTTGAAGATTCTTTGCTATCATGGCTCGTCGGAGATTCCTCTTTTTTAACTGAATGGTTAACCACATTCTTTTTATTTAAAAGGGATTCTTCCAATTTCTTTGTTCCTTGAGTGCGAATTGTAGCAGCATTTTCTTTTAATTTTCTTGGCTTGGCCATTTTTCGAAACGATGCAAAGAAACTATACTTGCGAAAAAAGAAACACGTGCAGAAGTTGCACTATGCAAAATGTGCAAAACTAAAAGAACCAAATTCAACAAAAGAACAAAACAATCAAATTGTAATGCGTGTGCTATGTGTTCATATCTGACTGGAAAGGAAAAAACGAAATGTTTGAAATTAAATTCAAATTTTACCGCTAAGCCGATAACAATTTAATATTTGCCATCACTAATGTTGCTTGGTGCTGTAAAGCGCCATTGTTCGATTGTGTAGTTCTATTCCATCTAAATTTTATTAATTCAATGAAAATTTAGAAAATAGTTAACTTTATTTTGAGTATATTAAAGTATAATAAAAGTAGTAGTACAAAGAGGATAGGGGAGAAAGTAGAATTAATGGGTTGGCACGGAAATTTGAATCGGCCATCTGGCAACACTGGAACAGCTGACCAGTCCCAGTGCTGTACAACGCTCAAAATGAATGAGTGAAAAATAAAAAAGTGACGTTTGCATTGTGTAGTTGTTTTTTTTTGTTGGTTTTTCGTTCGTTTTTGGTGGCTTTTTTCGACGGCCATTCGTCATCGTTGGCGCGGCGATTGTAAGTCCGTGAAAGACTGGCCGTATTCCGTTTTCCACGCCGTGGAAAACGGTTTGACCTTTTCGCCGCGTTCCCATTAACTTCCGGGCATCGTCGCTGCTTTTCCAATTGTTGTTGTTGCTCCTTCCGTTCTGGGCACGATCGAAAACGGTAAATGGTGAAAAATCAGTGATCCCCCTACTTTGTCGCTCAATTGGAGTTGCTTTCGCCTGTTGCATCTCTCTTCCGCCTGTTGCGCTGCTGCTGCTGCTGTTGCGCGGGGTTGAAATTGGGGTGGAGCTCTCTGGCTCTCTCCCCGCCTCCCACTTTGGCTCCGGCCCCCCTCCCTTTCACCTCTTGTCAACGGCTGTTGCGTTTGCGTGCGTGTATCTGAAAGATTTTCTGATTTTCGAATGTAATTTCCAAAAAATATTATAAACTTTAGATAGGCTCCACCTCCAAAAAAAACAAGACGGTAAGCCATGGCGGATGTTCGCAGTCTTTTTGTGTTTTTTTTATATTTTTCTAGTTTATATAATTCGATTTGCTTTCCACCTTTGTGCGTTTCTATCTGGTTGTTGTTGGTGTTGTTGTTTGTTGCTTTTTTGTTTTTCTTCTCCAATCGACCAACTTGTTTTGCTCGCTTTCGTCTCTCCATGTGTGTGTGTAGGTGTCTGTGCATTTAGCTATATATATTGCTATTAATTTACGCTTTCTGCTTGGCTGCTTCAATTAATTCTTTGGCTTAGTCCCGATGCTCTTTCCGCTCTTTTTTGCTTAATTGCCATATATTTTATTTTTCGCAAGCCAGCCGGAGTCATTAGCCTCTTTTCTCATCTTCTCTCTCTCTCTCTCCATCCTTTCTCTGCCTCCCACTTTTCTCCCATCATCAGCTGTTGTATTTAAATTTTAATTTTTTTCCCCAATTGTGAAAATCGCAGTTTCATAAAATTTTGTGAAAGTTTCGTTTTTCCAATTGCTTAAGTTTTCTACACTGCGAGAAATTCAACACATCTAAGTATTTTTGGTTTCAAAAGTGGGTCTTGTACGTCCATTTTATCATTAAACTTCATTTTTATTCAAAACAAGTATTATTTTGTTTTTAAATATAATTTTCTTTACAAAATTTCTCTCTGTGTAGTTACTCCACACCATAAACCCCACCTCTGTGTGCAGACACAGATAATTAATGCAGCCCCTTCTTGGGTTTTATTTTTCAAACAATAAACATACTTGGATTAGAGTCTCTACTGGGCCTGCGATTGCACTATCATATCATCAAATATTAGATACATCACCATCATAAATTTCAAATTCAAATGAAAATGTTAAATATTTAATCTAGAGTCGAGAGTAGGGACTATCTAAAGTTAATCAGAGTTGTCGTTATCTGGCCTAGATTTAACGTACTTCTAGAATTGCAAGAATTTCATAGAGATTGCATGGCCTTTTGGACAAAATAATAATAAGAATTAATATTTATACCCTTTTCAGCTTCCCCTTCATGTTGAGTATTGCCTGAAGATGTTGTGATGGCGAAGATGGCATCGGGAGATCTTTCGCTGACCAGCACGAGCAGTCAGGAGGGTGAGTATTGGAGTATTGTCCCGAAAGACCCTATTAACTTTCTTAAATTTTTAGAAGAAAGCTCGGAATATGTGGGCTATGACAGCACCCTACGGCCGCCGTCAAACTCCAGTGGCAGCACCACGGCGGCCAACATGGCCAACAACAACGGGCCCTCGAAGGTGGTCAACAGCTCCGGCGTGTCCTCCGGTAACGGCAAGAAGTACGACCTCCTGCAGGCGCAGTACAAGTCCGCACTGCTGGAACTGGGGAAGCTGCGCCACCAGCACGCGGACAGCAAGCACCGCTGCGACCAGTTGACCTCCGAGCTGAGTCTCTACCAGGAGCACTACATGGCCGACCGCAACATTGTGGCGGAGAGTGCGCGCCTCAAGCGGCTGCTGCTGGAAAGCCAACAGAATCAGCAGGGCCAGGGCCAAAACGGAAACAGCCAGGCACCTCCCGGGGCCGGTGGGAATCCCTATTATTTCGGCAAGTCCCAGGGATGTGACGGCAACTGCAGCGAAAAGATCGCGGAGCTGAAGAAGGAGCGGAACATGGCCGCTGTGGAGCGGGAAAAGTACAAAAAGTCCTACATCGAACTGGAGAAGGAGCATAGCTACTACCGCGAGCGGAGCGAGGAGAACCAAACCCTCAAGGTCCTGCTCTCGAAGGAAACCAAGAACGTGGTCTCGCTCAACGAAGAGTTGAACCAGCTGCTCTCCGAAAAGGACAATGTGCTGCAGGAGCACCAAAAGATGTCGGACGACCTGGTCCTGGCCAACAAGGAAATCGAGCGATTAAAGAAAGACGAGCAGCTGGCACGGGGCCAGATCGAGGCTCTCCAATTCGCCAATGCCGAGCTGAAGAAGAGGGACTTGCTGAAATCCCGCGAGAGCTCCTGGTCGAAAGAGTTCCCCAGCGGCAAGGAACTGGAGAACAGCAAGGAGCTAGAGAAGCTACGGAAAAGCCTCGAGAAGGCCCTCTCCGAGGTGGAGCGCTCCAGCCAGGACGCCGAGGAGGCCAAGCGAGTGCGAGACTGGGCCATTTCCCAGCGCGAGAAGATTGTTCAGGAGCGCGACTCCGTCAAGACCCTTTGCGACAAGATGCGCCACGAGCGAGACAAGGCCATCTCCGACTCCCTGATGGCCATCCGAGACAGCGAGAAGATCAAGAAGCAAAAGGACGAGGCCCAGAAGAAGATCGATGTGCTGAAGGAGCAACTGGAGCAGCAGGAGCGGCACAATCTGGACAGCAGTGCTTCTGGTTCGCGCCGCAGCTTTCGGCTAAGCAGCTACGAGGGCGAAGACTTGCTGGAAGTGGAGCTATCGGGCTACGAGCAAACCTCCGACCTGGGCATCATTCTCGACGACAGCAACAAGCGGAAGCTGGTCTGTGGAGTGACCAGCAGCTCCCCCGCCTGCGGGAAGCTCAAGATCAACGATGTCATCTGCAAGGTGAACAATCTGGACTGCCAATCCCTTTCCAAGCGAATGGTGCTCGACGAGATCCGGGCCTGTGCCCCGCGGTCGCTGCTCTTGGTCTCCCGGACGCGCCACAGCAAGCGACACGCCTACTCCGTCCACTTGAAGAGCCGGGATCGCGATATTCCGCACGGACTCCAGCTCGACATGGGTGTGTTCATCGCCAAAATCGAGCAGAACTCCCTGGCGTTCTACGAGCCAGAGTTGGATGTGGGCGATCGGGTCCTGAGCATCAACAACAAGTCCATGGACTCGGTGCAGTCCATCGAGGAGGTGATGCAGCTGCTCAACGATCCAAGGAGCGATGGGCTGAACCTCTTTGCCCTGAAGTATGTGCAGGACCAACTGCCGCCGGGAATGACCACCTCGTCGGCCCAAACCGACTCCATCGACTCCGTGCAGCATGTCAGCGGAGGCGGTGGAGGAGGAGGTGGGGGAGGCAGTGGAGCCAGTAGCGCCACAAAACATCCGTCCAAGTTCGCCGAATTCTTTTTCCGAAAACTAAAGTTCAGCAAGCCGGGCACGCCGGAGGACAACTTTGAGCAGGAGCACGACGACGCCATCGCCGCCTTGGACTCGGTGCTCTGCGAAAGCAGCTCGGAGAAGAGCAAGGAGAACCTCTTCAAC